AGTGTTTGATGGGCTTCTACGCAAACCGTTTTAAGAAATATCATTCCGTTTGTAAGTTATTAAACGTTTTTGAGATCATTCTCATCAAAAAATGACATTTTTGTGATTTTTTGTGTTCGTTATATCTTTTTAAGAGTTCATTCATTTCGCCCGAACTTTTCCCTATAGGTCAATCCTTTATTGAGTTATTTATCATTAAAAAGCTGTTAGCGCAATCCCTTGCGGGATTAAAAATGTGAAGCACGATGGATCTATTGTTACTAGTTAAATGGAAATTGTTTTGTTCCACTTTTTTGCGATACATTTGTAGCTAACGGTATATCTAATGCTTTAGAACTACAGTTCCTCTGTTACGATTTGTGATGGGTCCCAAGCCCTGTCTATCACGGTCTGTGATGGATCCCAGGTCTGTCTGTCACGGCCTGTGATGAGGCCCGAGCCTGTTTGTCACGGTATGTGATGGGTCCCAGGCAAGGGGAAAAAAGCAGATTTTAAGGTTTTAAGATTTTAAAAGATTTTGAAAGATTTTGAGGAATTTTAAAAGATTTAAAAAGATTTTTAGATTTAAAAAAAATTGAGCCTACTCTAATTAGAGGAAACCTGCGTGTTCTAATAAAGGAGATGTGTCTTACTACGGTATATGCATCTGAAAAGTCCGAACTCAATTTTATTATTCTGAGAATCAGCATTCAGCTTTGTGTCCCCTCAGGGATCGAAAAAAACTTTGTGTCTTCGTTTTTGTAGAGGCACTTCTCGTTCGATTGAACTCAGTGTGCTGATTTTGATTATCACACTTATTTTCAATATTCGTCGAATAATAAGAAACATCTGAAGCACTTTCTGGAATCTCTAAAAACCAGTTTTTGACATGAAAGTCCATCAAAGTTCTATTGGAATGCAAAAAAAATAGCCTCATTCGCGTAGAAGTTTTTTCTCTACCAGAATCTATAAGAAGGTCCTAAGTATTCAAACCTTTTTCAACCGATAATTAGGAAATACCGCCTCGATTGGGCCATATTGTTGCAAATAATGATTATTTCGGCTTTTTAAACTTACATTTTATACGGGTGAACCAGGAGATTTTTTTATCAGATACGTAATTCAACTTTCTCGTTCTGGTGACACCATTTTCAACTTGAAATTCAATGTCTAGTAAAGTGCTTATGCTACCCCTAGTACACTTGAGAGTGATTTTGGGCTAGTACTCGACGGTTTTCGAGTAGAACGAACTAGGTTTGATTTTAAAAATACCATATTTGAAATCAGCACAAAAAACTCAGTCCAATTATGCGTGTTTCAAATTGTTTCTGCGCTATTTTTTTCTGCGGAATTTTCACCCATGATCTCCTTCAGGGATATAAGGACAAATGTATTTCATCAGAAAAATGTTTGGTCAGTGAAAAAGTAGTTCTGGATTTGTAAAATGCTATTTGAAAAACAAATTATAGATGCATAGATATTTAAATGATGGTTTTAATGAAATTCATTTTCCCTTATATTCTCAAGGAGGACTACGGGTCAAAATTTAACTGAAAAAGAAGCCCCAGAAAGAATTCGAAGCATACATACGTTGATTGACTTTCGGGTACTGATTCCAAATATAGCATCTTTTCATGTCAACAGGGGTCACTTCTATCCAAAAACCATCGAAAATTAGTCAAAAAAGGACAGACATTGGCTATAAAGCACCCTGGTTAGGACAAAAGTGCTTTACTAGACATCGGATTTCAAGATCAAAATGGAATGAACAGAAGGAGTAGATTGAATTACATATTCGGTAAAAGAAATCAAGCTGGCACGCCCATTAAACCTATGACTTCATAACTCTCAAAAAAAACACTCCCAACCATTGCAAGATCCAATATGGGCGATATTTGGCACTTTTTGATGGAGAAACACTGAACGTCTAAGACACTTTCATAGATTCTGATAGAGAAGTAAAACTTTGCAG